TGCTGATATAACCGAAACCATTTACATCTCACGCACCAAGTGAACAATATCGAAGTTCTATACAACAGTGGTAGTAGTAGTAGTAGTACTCAGTTGATGAAATTGTTCACTTTCAAGGTAAGTATATTTCCTGATGTACATTAATCGTGTACTTCGATATATTGTGTTTACTGAAATAGAATTTGTATGATGTTGAAGGTTTCAGAGTACTTAAAGCTAACCAGCCAGCTGCCACTCATGACATGGATTGATCTCGCTCTCAGTTTATTAGCGTATTATGGAGATCGTTACTCTTCCATTCAAATTGTTATGTTCGTTACTAGGTATGCTTGAAGCTATTACGAGTTCACCTTCGTCCATAAACGCGAACGAGACAATTACCAGCGTCCAGATAGGCTACCTTGAATCCAAACGGATAAAACAGAAGTCTTGGTAAGCGTAGAAAGCATATTCTACAACACCCAACAATCACAATACAATCAAGCACACAACTCTCGTTGATTTATATATCATAGAAACGTCCTTGGGACAGTTACGATAATAGCACACTGAAATACACAGCAGCCAATCACGGCCATAGATTTTCCTGGTGGGAAATGAAATCTGAAGGTCAACTGATCAACCCATGCTGGCAAACGTGAAATCGAAAATAAGGCATTTATCAATGGAGTTCTGGGGATCTAACATCCCCAACAGAAATCATGACTGAACGATTGTTAGACCACCATTAGAAACCTGGAACCACTGAGAGTTGGCCGTTTCTTCCTGGTATGGGGCTACTCATCAGTGGCAGTGCGCATCCACAACTCTTGCTACTCGCACAAGATTTGAACCCCGAACCTTAGGTCTTGTGTGCGAGCTCAATAACTAACCTCTGGGGACCACTGAGCCTACTACCACCATATATATACACATTAAACGTATTAGTTATCAACTTTGTTTTTATCTTCGGCACTAATGTTGATTATGTTTAATCAATGAATATCACATTTTGGCGGGAGTAACTATGACTCTGTTAAGGTAGCCAAATGCCTCGTCATATGAGGGGCGTAGCCTTAGAATGCCTGAGCTGGCCTCGGGTTGAGCGATATTGGTGCCTTTGAGGGGGTTGTGGTGGCGACTACCTCTTCGTGGTCCCGCTAGGCAACGTGGCGGTGGCAACATCGCTGCGGCTAAAGTCGTTCCAATCGCTTAGGATACCGTGCTAAGCATGGTCCGGATAAATGGCACGCTCATGGTCGCAAGGCTGTGGATGCGTCTGACCAGTCTGGGGGATTAAGACTGAACGACTCTAGGTCCGAATCCCGTCCTTCAAGCGTAGGTAAACTCCTGAAAGGGATGTAGTAGGATGATCGAGGGCGGCCCTGGACCCTATGTTTGGGGAAGCAGCCGCAGGCATCCTGGACTACTGACGCCGACCTTATGTGGTTTTCCCTTACATGCTGCACCCGATGTAGTGTGTGAACTGGCGTCGAGGCCCCTTAAACAAGGGTCTCCAGTTGGGTTCCGGTGCTTTAGTGCTGAAAGGGTACTGAACACCAATGATGTCTGCCCACTTCTGTGGGATGAGCCCTGCTTGGCTGAGCGCTTGCGTTTGGTCGAGTCTATGACATCGTCCTCATGGAAGGGTGTACGTTCTAGCTGACCTTGTGGGACAAACTCGATCTTTAGCTTCATGCGGGGTAAAGGGGGCCTCGATCGATTGTATCAACGCAAGGCAGTTGGAGGCCAGACGGTTGGAATGGCTGTTGGTTAGTGCACTGCTTGGAGGGCTCGGTAACCTGCTACGGGGTGCCTTGTCCGGAAGGATAAGCCCGCCTTGCCACCCTCGCCGATTGGGGATTGTGGGCTGCGGTTTGGTTGGTGGGATTTCTGGATTCATAAGTGCCCGTGCAGGGGCCACTGCTCGTGTGCGTGCTTTTTGGATGTCCGACTTGTCTGCAGACCGAACCGGACAACATGTATGTACCCGAAAGGAGCAGGGGTCAGTACTGTTGGCAACAGTGAGAATCCTTGCGCTGTATATCAACGCAGCGATGTGCATGTGCAGCAGGCATGTTGGTTGACCATGAATATAGCCAAATGCCTCGTCATCTAATTGAATGGGTATATTAGGTGACGCACATAAATGGAGCCTTCTGGGGGTTGTGGTGGCGGCTACCTCTCCGTGGTCGTGCCAGGCAACGTGGCGTTGTTTACAGCGCTGCGGCTGAAAGCCGTTCCGAACGCTTAGGATACCGTGCCGAGTATGGTCCAGAATAATGGTACGTGTTCATGGTCGCAAGGCTGTGGATGCGGTTGACCACTCTGGGGGATTAGGACTGAACGTCTCTAAATCTGAATCCTGTCCATCGAGCGTAGGTAAATTGAATTACTTTTAAGGGATATAGCTTTCTAGGATGCTTGAAGGCGGCCCTAGACGATTTATTTGCGAAAGCAGCCATAAAGATCCTGGATTATCGGAGCTGACCCTATGTGGTTGTCCCTTACACTCTGCACCCGATGTAGTGTGTGAACTGGCGTCGAGGCCCCTTAAACAAGGGTCTCCAGTAGGGTTCCGCTGTTCCAGTGCTGAACTGGTACTGGGCGCCAATGACGTCTGCCCACTTACGTAGAGGGATGAACCCTGTTTAGCTGAGCACTTGCGCTTGGTCGAGCTCATGACATCTTCCTCATGGAAAGGTGTACATTCCGGCTGACCTTATGGGACGAACTCGATCTTTAGCTTCATGTAGGGCCTTGGGGACCCCGATCGATTGTATCAGCGGAAGGCAGTTGAAGGCCAGACGGTTGGAACGGATGCTGGCTAGTACACTGCTTGGGTGGCTCGGTAATCCGCTTCGGGGTGCCAGGCCGAGCTGGGTAAGCCCGCCTTGCCTCCCTTGTCGATTGGGGCTTGTGCATAGTGGACTGGTTGGATGGATCTTGTTGATTCCTAAGTGCCCGAGCGGGGGCCACTGTTCGTGTGCGTGCTTTTTGGACGTCCACCTGTCTGCAGACCAAACTGGACAACATGTATGTTCCCGATTGCGACAGGGGTGATTACTGTTGGCTACAGTGTGAATCCTTGCGTTGCCTAAAATGCAGCGATGTGCATGTGCAGCAGGCTTGTTGGTTAACCATGACCTTGATGATGTTTAATCAATGAATATCACATTTTTACTTTTATGCACTTCATTATGTCTACAATGTTGTCAACAACTTTCTTCTCGATTGAAAAAAACAATGTTGATATTTTTGACAAGTTTCTGTCTCGCAAATCTACTGTTACATAGTTGGTTATCATAATTTTATCTGGACATTTTGACGGAATTCGACAACTATACAACTATACAACTACACAGCAATGGGTACTGTATGAAAAGAATTTCTTGAGGTTGTAAAATCGTATCTTTGAGTGTCTCTCATAAGGATTTTCCGTACTGGAGCACTGCATACACAGTACAATGGTATAAAAGAAAGCTCTGAATGGTTACTTCATGAAATTGGGATGGTACTAAACTCTGTTATCGATAAAAAGCAGTTAACACCTTTTGGTGTTTCGTATTCCAATATATATAAACACGGGACGTTTGTGAAAACTCTCTAAACACTTTCTTTATGGTGATGAATAGTGTCAACTGATGTAATTCAGGAACTAATCTTCTTGGTACACGTTGTCTGTGTGCTTAGTTTGCAAAGGAACAGGTTGAAATTCACTAAGTGCCTTCTGGAAATCAGCGCCAACTCTGTCTAAACTGTTCATTTGCATGAATTCATTAACTGAAACATTCCGATAACTGTGGAAGCTTGATCAATATACCGTTAGACATATCTTCCTGTCAACATAGCCGTGGAGCCTATAGTACGATCGTCAGCGAAGTGCATAAAACGGCAGCTTTTTTTAATAGTCGACTACTCAAAACAAGTTCATTTGTTTATACTTCAAAAGACGAAGAATAAACCTCCCGAGAATGTCAATAAATTGACTACTTAATCATGCTAAAACTACAAACCTAAGCAACCTAACACACATACATGCTTAACCAATCTCGAGTACTTTCTAGTTATGACGGAATGCCCACCTTTGGAAAATGTCAGCCAAGGTTATGTGACACAAAACGGGAGACCAATTTGAACTGGAGATGAGTTTTCATCAGTTCCTGGCTACATGATTAGGTCTATTATTACAGCAGACAGAACACATAAAAATAAATGTAATCGGATTATATTTTGTGTACTTCTGGTTCCCTGGATCACTCACTACTCACTACGCGTAATAAGCTTGGATATCCGGTTATGACGAAAATATGACTTTTAAACCGATGACAGGAAACTTGCTATCTGTAAAAACCTTAAATCTTCTAACATAACCTGAGAGAGCGCCAAACTATCCATTTGAAGAAAAGTCTGTAGAAGAAGCCCAGAAAAACTAGAAAACGCCCACAAGAAAAATGTTTCACCCAAATCCGCATTGAATGAAGAAAGACTCTTGGTAGAATTATCTGGGTCATGCAGAATCATGTGCCTGCCATACACAATGTTGATTGGATTTTATTTTCTAACCACATCGCTTCTATGGTTTTTTTTAAAGTGTGCTTCGTGAACTTTCAAGAAGCGCATCCCCAAGCTGATGGCGAGTAACTAGTACTCTGTAAATACACCCACATTTTCCTGGTAAATAGTATAAACTACCTAACCTTGGAGTACACATACACGTTTTCTCTTGTGTTCAAAATGGTTGCGCAGATTTTTAGTCTTTGGGTGGGATTATTATTGTAAAGGCAACTAAGTAATCAGACAGTGAGTTCTCCTTCTAAGCAAACTGGTCACTAGAACAGACAGTAACTGATATACGCCTGTCAATTGATATGCTTGAATGGTATTGTGAGTTCACCTTACTCGGTAAACGAAATAAAAGAGCAATGACGTAATGACACGACAGACTATTCTAGTCTGATTGTCCCCGGCCGTGCTAAGAAGTCTTTTGATATGGCGTAGAGAATGTATTCTACTACCCAGAAAATACAAGGTTGCTATGCACACAAATCAAGCATATTTATACAATGATAGAAACACCCTTGGGGAGAACCACAAAATAGCCTACTGAAAAAACTCCGTCAACCAATGAGAGTCAAGGATTTCCGAGTGGGAAATCTAAACTGTTGGTCAACTAAACGTCTCTTGGCGTGAAAATTCGAAATTTCGGAATAAACAGTCAGTTACAAAATATCAAGATTTTGAAATAAATCTTCCTCGAATTAAGACAACTAAGGAGAGAAAATTTACCTGATCAACTTGACACCAAAAAGTGTGTCATGTCACTCTGATGAAATTTTTCAATAATTTGCCAAGAACAATTGGGGTCTTCTTCTAGTTTTCTCACTAAATCACCATATAATCGAATCCAGTCAAGTTGATTAGATAACCATGCTGCAATTTGAATGCGATCGACAGTTTCATTTTGTGTGGCTATTTTGATAATATCAATAATAAAATCTAAACAATCATATTGTTGTTGATTTATACTACTCAAATTATGATTATTAGTAGTCTCACTATCATTGGATTGATTGAAATAATCATCATCATTGACAAACTGATGAATCGTTTCATTCCATTTAGACGATGTTAACTTGTCACAGTTCATTGTGTCAGCTACATTGATCATAATACATTGTTCCCAACCAATCAAATCCATAGTCACACCGCATTGTTGAATGTAGTGATAAACTTGACCATCTGAATCAACAACTCCACAATGGAAATTGACATTCGATTGTTGATGATAACTCAAAATACTACTACTATTATCCGATAGAATAAATACAATTCTCGCTATAGGATATGATGAGAACATGATTGGATTATGTGCATTGGTGATAGTTGGTGACAATAGTTGGTGAATAGTTGTTTCATTATTATTGAAACTCGCGCCACAATGTAAACATTTCTCTGGTGGATTGTCATAGGTGCATAGATATGCCTGTTCACCAGTATCATTGTCAATATTTGAACAAGAATGCTTTATGGCTATGATTTTCTTACTGTAAGTCATATTTTCGATAATAATAACAAGAGGCCTGATAGAATTCTCTTATCTGTAATAAAAAAGCACAGTCAACTAACTACTCTACACTCTCATAACTAACTCAAGGTCATAATAGTCAATCAGATTCAGCTTTCGTCAATGTACACACAAATCTGCACATCACATGATCGGCTTTTATTGAACCAATGGGTGTCCTTGTTGATTACATGTGAAACTTTTAGTGAACTGATTGATGTACTTACTACTATACAGAGTATCGTAACTTTGTTTTAAATCAATCGATCGATCGATCGGTTATGCTGGTGTGCTGATTGACCTACCGCCATGTTAAGTTAGTTACATCACATAGTATTGATTTTGTGCTCCAATTTTCAAGCATACATACCGTAGTGTATTATAAACAGACTATAGATAGAGTATCATCCTCGTTTCTTATGAATTAGTAAGTGATGATCGATTTTTTGCATAATGATTGAGATTATTATTACTATTGTTGTTATCAAGTTGAATGAATAATTGTAGGCGGATGAACAGGGATTTCTGATCTCGATTGTTTGTATTCCGTTTGTGAATAAGAAGAGTTTCCAATTAGAGTTATGGAGACATTTGAAATCATCAATCAATGATTGTTAGACCACCACCATTAGAAACCTGGAAGCACTGAAAGACGGCCGTTTCGTCCTGGTATGGGACTGACTCATCAGTAATGCGCATCCACGACTCCTGCACCTCGCAAGGTTTGAACGCGGGACCTTCGGTATTGTGCACGAACGCCTAACCATTGGACCACTGGGCTGAGACCCAACGGTGTTAATGTCTAACTCTGATTGGTCTAGGGATTTTGCGCAACCTTACCCAAGAAGAAGAGTACCTTTTTTGGTGGTTCGAAATTTGACTCCAGTTTGATCGAACGATTGAATATGCTATGAAATAAGTTTTTCTTTCAACTACTGTCATTTTTATGACGGCGGTGATAAGAATGAATGAGTTTATTTCGTGACCCCTGCGATATTTAAGGATGGTGGTCCAGTGGGCCAACAATAAATTAGGAGGTCCGAGGATTCTTGATAAGAATAATGTTCTTTTGCCAACCTGTGTCACTTATGGTGTAGGTGAGATATCCATTTGCTGACTAAAGGACGAGTCCACTGCGCAGTAGTTCCCTCCGTCCTACTTGATGGCTGTGAAACATGATCAGTGAGAGTAGAAGATATTCGTAGGTTACTGGTTTTCGATCATAGGTGTCTTCGAAGCATTGCTCGTATATCCTGGGACACCCGAGTGAGCAACGCTGTTATTAGGAAACGGGTGCTAGATAAGAATGTCAGATCAATAGATGAAGTGCTGAAACTTCATCAGTTGAGGTGGTTGGGACATGTGCTGCGTATGCCTAACCACCGACTGACTAGACGAGCTTTGTTTTGTAGTGTAGGAATAGGTTGGAAGGAAGTTAGGGGCGGCCAAACCAAAACATGGCAGCAATCCATGAAGTAATTGACCAGTGGACTGAGTCATTTTAGTAGTTGTCGACTACCTGGTTGGGGTCCACGAGATCATAATAATTGATGGTTAGAGACCCTGAATGGCATGGCGCTAAACCGTTTGCAATGGCGCAGGTGCATTTATTCTTTGTGTTCTCTCAAATCCTAATCCTATGGATTCTTCAACACATCTAGTTTTGTCTTTCTAAACCTATCTCACTGAATCATACTTCTTGAACAATATCTTCTTATCATAACCTCTCTGATTACTTCTAATACCTTTACTACCTCTACTACTATTGGCTTGGAATTGACAATTACATCTCTGTGCTGATGTGGTATGGCAACATGAACTGATGTACTTACGTACGAAGTTCTACGTTGGATCTGGCTGACTGACTGAATGCAATCGTTCACTCAGACAGACATGAGGATAAAAGCGAGGAAGTAAGGTGAAGCGAAGTGGAGCAGCAGGTGTGAGTAAGCCAATTTAATGCGATGAGTCATCACCAAGTGGTTAAAGTCAGGCAATAATAGGTAGGATAGGTATGTAATAAGTGAAGTAAACGATACACGTACTCATTCAATTAAAAACAACCAAGGTTATGAGCGACTAATTGGCAAGGTCGAAAGACGTGCAATTAATAACTCGAACAGTAAAAGTTGATTTGTCTTTTTTTCAAAAGCTAGGACAAGCCCGGTAGTTTCAACAATAGGTACACATAATATAACCTGTCCATGCGCTTACTATTCAGAGGTGATCCAGTCAGTGAGATATTAAACCAGAGAATAATATTGTGAGGCGGCCAGTTGATAAATCCACAATTCAAAATGTGAATGTAAATAGTGAAGAGGAGCACGGTTTTATTCAATGATAAAAAATGAGAATCAGGGTAGGAGGGAGGAAATACGTTGATAATCCAGAGAAATCGACAAAAATTCGATAAAGAGAGTACAAATGTATGGGATGAGGGGGTCGTGTCAACCCCTTTTGCAACTGAGTCACATAATTTGTTGTGTACACATTGAGCTACTGGTTTTTAGTGAGTAGTATAAAATATCACGCATAAAATTGCTGTGAACGGAGGTTTGCGTGGTGACAATAAGACTATACACTCCGTTAACTAACGTCTAGAACATTTAGATTGCTGAATTGGACAAACTAGGTTTGTCTTCTTCAATAGAAAATATTCTGAAATGGAGTTGTTCAACTGTAAGCATCAAATGTGTAAACACTACAAGTCGCAGCCGATTACTATGAAATCATGTGGCATAAAAGATTTATGTATAAGTTAATAAGTTCGAAACCATATCTTATTTTCTATCTAGGCGATTTGAAGAAGTGTTACTGTTTGCCAACACTAAGTATTAAGCGGTTCGATCAGAATTTCTGTTTAAAAACAGTCACCACTTCTTAGCACTTAAAAATGACTGAAAGACTTCGAGGTCTTTGGACTACGGTTAGTAATTTAATTCTGTCATCTAGTGGGGTGAATGTCGTAATATCCATTGGTTACTGTGTTCCCTCTTCTTTTGAATGATCGCTCTTAAGTAGGATTTATGTCGAGTGAAACCTTTCTATCACTTTTGTTATGCCTGCACGTAAACACGTCATTTTGATATGCTTGAATTATTATTACGAGTTGACCTTAGTCGGAAAACGAGAGCGACTAGGGTCGAGGATCCGGTGACACGACATGCTACTCTAATCCGATTATCCCAACCCCCATATTTAGTTAAAATAAGAAGACATGATATGAAGTAGAACCTGTATTCTATAATCATCCAGAAAGTACGAGGTCCGAATCCAAAAGAGAATCAGGATCCCGGATTATGGATCCGGGACCGGATCCTGGTCGTGGTCAGAAATGTTACAAATAATGCGTATTTACACATTTTGGTCGAATAGGAAACAGCATCGAAGTCTGTGAAATTGACAGTTAAGACGATCAATAGGAAGTAACGTTTGAAGTGACATCGATAGTCAGGACAACCAATAAGAAACAAGATTGGAGCACGTGACATTGATATCTAGGATGATCATAAAATTGACTAGTAGGAATTAACCAATGGGAATTGAGTAGTAATTCTCTTAGGATATTGGGTGAATATCCTAACACATTTTTTGATAGTAGAGTTAAAACCAAGTAACGCTAATCATTCACTCCTAAATAATCAGAAATTTTAATGTTTCCATTTGCATATGTATATCATTCCTCCGATGACTCACCTACAATAAATCAGAGTAGGAACATGTAGTGTCAGTCAGAGTTTCACTCTTTGGCTATACTAGCTAAGAAAAACCCATAAATCTTGTTACGTGATGTTACTAGAATTCCTCTCGTTAGACCATTGATTGTTGTACGTATTCAGTCCCCCGGTTAGTTGTTATGTGGTGCGCGCTACTTATAAGTAGTATATGAAGCGAGTGAAAACGTAATGTCTGGCAGCAGAAGATGGGGGAAGATCAAGAAAGTGAGGAAGAGTGGGGGAACACAATGGAATTTGTATGAAACGCATGAATAAGTGAAATGTCAGACAATGGATTGATGATGGATTGAAGATTTGCAAATTAACCGTTTACGATATGGTTTTCCTATTTTACTGAGTTACTCTGTAATTTGCGATAAATATACAATTCAGTTGCTCTCACCAGTGTTCTCCTTCACTACAGTTATTGTTACCTAGTTATTTTTTTGTCTGTTGAAAACTGTGAAGTACTTGACAAGTTGTTCTCCATAGTATG